GGACACCTTGTATAAAAGAGTTGAAATTTTGCTGCATCATAAGCTTTGAATTTCTAAACCTCTCCTTCACCACAACTTTGTTGATTTGATCTATCTGCACGATGGATACTAGTTAGATTTCAGATGTTATGGTCCCCGAATGTATGTCTGGTTAATACAAAATCAACTACGGTGCATACATCGCCGAAGCCGAACGTACTGTTAATGTTGATGCCTAATGGAACAATCTGGCTTAACTACAGGGTTAGGTTCATTTTGGTAGATAGCTCAACTTTTGAGTAGATCTTTAGGTCAAAATCGAGTCACCATGTTCGATGAACTTAGAACGATTTCCTATCGATCAGCAGGTTTGCTCGTTGGTGAGTTCAGTGGTTGCCAGATTGAGTTTATTTTTGTTTCCGAAGTATTTGCCATTGCCATTGTTCACCATTTTCTTGCTTTGTTTGAGATATTTTGCATTTTATTCAAATTTTTCAATATTTTTTTGCTTTTTCATGTTAATCTGATTTTTTTCTGACTGATTGAACAACTTATTTGCAATGAATTGGAGTCGCACTTTGATGTTGAGGTCTTCGAAAGCTACTCCTACAATACTGCTACAGTAAGAATTGATTGGATGCCTGTAGCGATTACGGTACTTGATGACATCAGCCTACCAGATTTTGACCTTGCTGGCTTTCGCACTTTCAAGCATACCGAGGTAGATTATCATAAATAATATCAAAGAAGGAATGATGTTACCCAGAATTTTCTCTCCGACAGATTTTGCAAAAATAGTAAGCATGTAGTGAGAGAAGAAAAAAATGGGAGTCATGAACAACGTAGAAAACAAGCCGACAAAAACTTTGATGGATCGATGGCCTTTTTGCACCACTACAGTATGCTACCGGCAGACACCGCTGCTATGACGAGCAACTCGCTATTCTGCTTATAGCAACAAGTGCCAATCCTCTTTTTAGGGAAGAAGTTACAGATTTTTTCTCAAAGAAAATGGCGTTTGAAAATCTTTTTCAGAAAA